TAAAAAATATATATTTTTAAATGTTTATTCCCTCTGAACTTATAAAAGAGGATAGTGAGGTCTCACTCACCTGTGGCAAGTACACTCAGAAATATGGGAAAGGGTCTGGATGCAGACCTGGTACAGTGCAATCTGAGCTGCATCCAATGCTTTTTAATGCGCTCACCTAACCCCACCCCTAACCCTACCAGTCAGAGTGACATCACTCACTCCATTGAGTGCGTTTAGTCTGACATTGCATCGCTGAGTGATGCAATCTCAGCTTGCATCATAAAGGCTGCATCCAGATGCTATTGGAAATATGGGGTGCTTAAAAGGTGTCTGGTGCATATGGAGAGGAAAAGAGCGTGTCACTTAAGGCTGGTTTGTCAAGCCCACTCACCCTTGTGAAGCACACTCAGAATTATGGGGCGCTTATAAGGTGTCTGGTGCATATGGAGAGGAAAAAAGCGTGTCACTTTCGGTTGGTTTGTCAAGCCCACTCACCTGTGTGCAGGGTAACGGAGGCCAGCTAGTGAAGTGCTGTGCAGGTAAATCTCACTCCTCTGACCTCTAAAGGTGCTCTAGCGACAGACACCAGAGGCCATGGTCTTTAGCCTCCTAGGTAGAGCAACCGACTCCCATGCGGAAGGTTGCCGGTTCGATACCAGCTCGGACCCGGTTGGGTGGCGTAGGACCGGTGGTATTACATTGGTGCCGTGACCCGGATCGGAGTGTGTTTTTGGGGGGGTAAGTGTAACGGAGGCCAGCTAGTGAAGTGCTGTGCAGGTAAACCTCTCTCCTCTGACCTCTAAAGGTGCTCTAGCGACAGACACCAGAGGCCATGGTCTTTAGCCTCCTTGGTAGAGCAACCGACTCCCATGCGGAAGGTCACCGGTTTGATGCCAGCTTGGAGCAGGTTGGGTGGCGTAGGACTGGCGAAGTACAGCAGCGCACTCAGAATTGTGGGGTGCTTATAAGATGTCTGGTGCATATGGAGAGGAAAAAAGCGTGTCATTTACGGTTAGTTTGTCAAGCCCACTCACCTGTGTGAAGCACACTCAGAATTATGGGGTGCTTATAAGATGTCTGGTGCATATGGAGAGGAAAAAAGCGTGTCATTTACGGTTGGTTTGTCAAGCCCACTCACCTGTGTGAAGCACACTCAGAATTATGGGGTGCTTATAGGGTGTCTGGTGCATATGGAGAGGAAAAGAGCGTATTACTTATGGTTGGTTTGTCAAGCCCACTCACCTGTGTGAAGCACTCTCAGAATTGCAAGATGTTAACAGAACAGTGGATTGAAAAACTTGAATTTTTATATATAAATAATGGAGTATATGACTGCTTAAGTTCAATTAAAATAGGATATTTCTAACAAAGATGGGCACCTATTACTATGTATCTGAACAGGACGTAGTATTTCCAGCTCCTTTTGTAATTGAAAATAATGTATGTTTTATTGTAATTTGTTTTATTTACATCTAGTATTACTTTTTTCTGTCGTTATATTTAATAATCATTGCTGTCACTAAATTTTTTTTTTCTGTAAAATGTTTTGATGTATTTAAATAACGTAAAAAAATAATAATTGCAAGATGTTTTCCAAGAAATATGTGGTGCTCTCGGGTGCATATGAAGAGAAAAATGGTGCGTAATGGTTTGTCAAACCCAGTGTGAAGCACACTCTGAATTGCAGGATGTTTTATAGAAACATGGAGTGTTGAAAAGAAAGTGTCTGGTCATGGATTGGTTTAGTTCTTCTTTTTACCCTGTTTTGATATGGGTTTCCTGTATTTAATGCATTGTGTTCCCCATTTGCAGGCAGTGATGATGATGATGATGATGAAGATGCAGATGGTCCATCAGAATCAGAGCACTGGAAGGGTCCTGCTCCTGCTGTGGAGGAGAAATCCCGGTGAGGCTCATTTATACATCGTTACAATGAATTTTACCACAGTGTGGAGTAGTGTGAAGTAGTCAACATTTAAAGTGGATCATCACGTTTCATCAAAGTTGTCCTAAAACTATTACAGCAGTGTTTCTCAACCATGTTCCTGGAGGAACTCCAGCTCTGCGCATTTACCATGTCTCCTTAACCTAACATACTTGATTCAGATCATCAGCTCATTAGCCGAGACTGAAAGACCTCAAAATGGGTCTGACAAAGGAGACATACAAAGCACACACTGGTGGTCCTCCAGGAATGTGGTTGAGAAACACTGGATTAATTAACAGATATTCTTGACCTTTGGGGGGAAAATCACACAATGAAGTGCACAATCAGAGCAGTCACACAAAATTTTGTTGTAATCAAGCTAAATTTGTGCATATTAACATGGATGTTTTTCTAAAACAGTTGTGTTTGATTGTTTTTCAGGGAGGAAGAGTTCGATGAGTATTTTGAAGACATGTTTCTGTGAGTCTGAAAGAGGAGAATCCAGGGGAATCCCTTCCTGTTTTATTTTAATGCCTATTCGATTCATTTTGAGAATTATAGTTTTATAACAATTTACATCAGTATACTTAAGTGTTCATGTTTACATTTTTTTAAGTGTGAAGAGATTGATTAAGAGATATGCGGATGTCCTCGAAATTTCTAGTTATAGATATCCCATTAAGCGTTGACAGACTGACTAATGTTTCTACTGTCTTTTACTTGGGAAAATAAAAAAAACCTTGTGGATTTATGAAGTGTGCTTCACACAGGTGAGTGAAGTTGACAAACCACCTGTATAAACACTCTTCTGTCTCAAAAAAGTCAATAAATAAATTTGTGCATTTCTGAAGTGCTCTTCACATGGGTGAGAGGGTTTGATAAACCACCTGTAGAAACAGTCTTCTCTTTTTATAAATAACACACTCCCCCCTTCTTATGCTAGCACCAAATTTTCTAAGAACTAACAGCTCCTTTGTAGAATTTGCTCTTCTTGTGTGTATTGCCTTGTCTTGTTGAATCGCTGAATGCCTCCTCAGTCATACAGTGCATGCGGAAAGTATTCACAGAGCTTCACTTTTTCCACTTTTCTTTATTTTAGTCTTATTCCAAAATGGATTAAATTCATTCAATTCCTCACAATTCTACACGCAACACCCCATAATGACAACTTGAAAAAAGATTTTTGAATTTGTTGCAAATTTTCTTAAAAATAAAACCCCTGAAAAATCACATGTACATCATTTTTCACAGCCTTTGCCCAATACTTTGTTGATGCACCTTTGGCAGCGATTACAGCCTCAAGTCTTTTTGAATATGATGCCACAAGCTTGGCACTCCTTTCTTATAGCCCATTCCTCTTTGCAGTACCTCTCAAACTCGATCAGGTTGGATGGGAAGTGACGGTGTACAGCCATTTTCAGATCTCTCCAGAGATGTTCAAAAGGATTTAGGTCTGGGCTCTTGCTGGGCCACTCAAGGACATTCACCTAGTTGTTGTGAAGCCACTCCATTGATATTTTGGCAGTGTGCTTTGGGTCATTGTCCTGCTGGAAGATGAACCGTCGCCTCAGTCTGAGGTCAAGAGCACTCTGAAGCAGGTTTTCATTCAGGATGTCTCTGTACATTTCTGCATTCATCTTTCCCTCTATCCTGACTAGTCTTTCAGTTCCTGCTGCTGAAAAACATCCCCACAGCATGATGCTGCCACCACCATGCTTTACTGTAGGGATGGTATTAGCCTGGTGATGAGCGGTGCCTGGTTTTATGTAAACGTAACGCCCGGCATTCACTCCAAAGAGTTTAATCTTAGTCTCATCAGACCAGAGAATTTAGTTTCTTATGGTCTGAGAGTCCTTCAGATGCCTTTTGGCAAATTCCAGGCGGGGAGTGGCTTCCGTCTGGCCACTCCACCATACAGGCCTGATTGGTGGATTGCTGCACAGATGGTTGTCCTTCTGTAAGATTCTCCTCTCTCCACAGAAGAACGCTGGAGCTTAGACAGAGTAATCATTGGGTTATTGATCACCTCCCTGACTAAAGCTCTTCTCTCCTGATCACTCAGCTTAGATGGCCGGCCAGCTCTAGGAAGAGTTCTGGTGGTTCCAAACATCCTCCACTTACGGATGATGGAGGCCGCTGTGCTTGCTGGAACTTTCAGAGCAGCAGAAATGTTTCTGTAACCTTCCCCAGCCTTGTGCCTCAAGACTATTCTGTCTCGAAGGTCTACAGACAATTCCTTTGTCTTCATGCTTGGTTTGTGCTTTGACATGCACTGTCAACCTTGGGACTTTTATAGACAGGTGTATGGCTTTTCAAATCATGTCCAATCAACTAAATTGACCACAGGTGAACTTTAGTTAAGCTGCTGAAACATCTGAAGAATGATCAGCGGAAACAGAATGTACCTGAGCTCAATTTAGAGCTTCACGGCAAAGACTGTGAACACTGATGTACAGGTGATTTTTCAGCTATTTAATTTTTAATAATTTTGCAACAATTTCAAAAACTCTTTTTTCACATTGTCATTATGGCGTATTGTGTGTAGAATGTTGAGGAAATAAATGAATTTAATCCATTTTAAAATAAGGCTGTAACATAAAAAATGTGGAAAAAGTGAAGCGCTAAGCGTCTGCTAAGCGTAAATGAATATCTACTATATATAATGTGCGCTGACCTCTCAAATCTCACAATGTCAGAGTAGAAAGTCAGCTTAGCTAGAGGTGACTGCCAGCCAATCAGCATGCGGAATCAGCCAGATGAGCTCAAGAAGTCTCTTTGTTCAGTCTGGTGCGGCTACGCTTGCATTTCAATATTTCAAAATGACAGATGAGGTGCAGTCTGCCATTATAAATGCTGAACAGTTTGGCTCTATATTGCACTATCCTCAGAAAGAGAGAAGTCATTCGTCTCGGCTGTCAGCCAATTACCTGAGCCTCTTTACCTGGGGATGATCCAGCTTTATTAGGTAATCCACTCCATGATAGAAAAGTCATGAGGGGTTCCTGACATGCCCTTTCAGCAACCTGTGGTCACCGAGACCTCGAACTAACAGCAGATGTGGTCAAAGATTACTCCAGACAGCTCCGTTTCAATGTGTTTATTCGTTCACATGACATCCTTTACAGTATCTTATATGCATAATCAGTAAATAAGAGGATCGGATTGCACGCTCACTTCATATGATGCAGTACATGGAGTTATTCACGAGCCTAACAATGTGCGCAAACCATAAACCTGAGATGAGATTGACTCACTTTTGGCCTCTGGCTGACCTGGATTTAGAGGGTTTGACATTTACGTTTAGTTCCAGAGGAGTTATTTAAACAGCCGTGGGCCTGGTTATTGGATTAAAGGCCTTAACTGATTTACCAACAAGCGTATGTTGCATAATATTTGATGTATATTTGCTAAATCTTCACATTGGTTGTTTATATATACACGTTTGTGTTTGGTCAAATCAGCGATTAAGCAAGGAATGACCTATTTTGGATATCAGCATGCAGCTATCTGAAATAAACAGTTCTTTCACTAGTTCAAACACCGCTGTCATCAGATTCTCTAAACATCCCAACAAAAAGAGAGAGACTTTAACCTTAAAAAGGGTGATATCTAGAGGCTTCAGTAGTCTGCTTTAAATAAGCATGGTATTTAAAGATTAAAACAGAGTGAATCTCAGGAGCTGCTCCCCCCATCAAACTCACTTCAAATCTCCTTATAGGTTTACACATCTCCAAGTACTGACCGTTCCCTCTCGCCTTGTCACGGCATAACATGCACTGGATTTAAATATTCCCTGACCTCCGTAGAATACCGCTTCAAAATAGTATCAACGTTTGGTTTAAGCAAATACCTCTATATTATCAATTGATATTCTATGTGCGCTCAATTTTATACGTTTGATAATACATTATGGTTGAAAACTATGCGTGATGCTTATCATTAAATGGTTAAACAACAAAAAACATCTGGTCATAAATGTTCTGGAACGCTCTTGACACAGAATTAGCCGTATCGCAGCTTTTTTTTAAAGAACAAAACAGTAGAAAAGACATCCTGTATCGCAGCAGTCTAAAAACAATTGCAAATGCAACAAGTCGTTAACACCGCAAGTTAGGAGAAATTGAGTGCCGTTTTCTCTTTTGAAGAGTTAGCGTGAGCCACAGCTTCTCAAAACTCTTGTTCAAATGAGCTGAACCTTCATCCCAAAACAAAGCAATGGAAATGCCTTCAAATATAGGTAACTTCAAGGTGAAGTGTGCCATTTCATTTGATGTTGAAATGCCTCCATTCAAGCAGGCCTAACCGTAGTTAATCGAAGTGTAGAATAATTGAATAGCAATTGTTTTGGCGGCACATAAATGGCACACTGCACCTTTAAGTGCGTTTGCCAAACAACAAATCGATCTGGAAGCTTCGATGATTCGTTTACAGAGAAGCTAAATACAATGTGATTCTGAAGTCATTGAAGATTTAAGCTATTTATTCGTTTTTCCAATAAATTAGTAACCGTTCCGGAAGTTATTCAGCATATTGCTCTAATTCTTAATGTTTTTTGCTGTCATTGAACTGCCAAACACAAAGTAAGCTCTGAACTACAGCGCATTAATCATTTGTGTAGTGTTTCGGCCACCGTTGTGTGGCAAATGTGGTGCTTCCTCCAGCGAAGGTTGATGTTACAGCGATTAGGAGCAAGCATGAAATTGTCCATGTGGTGACGATTAGCTCTGGCGCCCCCATCAGAAAGTGAATCTGACAGGTACAGTTCTTCCATTTCTGGTCAAAGCCTACATGTTCACTTGATGAAGGTAATTCCGAGGAAATGAGACGGAGAGAATGAGAAAGCTGGCGAAAACGTAGTGATCCTAGGAGCATGTTTCAGCTTCCTCTATGCGTTTTCCAGCTGGCCCAGACTCCTCTGTGGCTTTCAATTTCTGGTGGTTTAAAAGATGGTGCAGGTTTTGGACTTTCCTCCCTCTCCTCCTTCCTCACCTCCTGTTTCAGTAAAGAAAAGAAAGTATAGGTCAGTCTAGCGTTTTTGTCATGATTAAATCATCAATTTGCCAGAATGAACTGTCCTACATGCACCACTACACTATAGGGTATATGCGGGAGTGTGCTAAATGACTTTTAATTTGTCAGTGACCTGGGTTAAGTGCTTCCGGTGAACTGTAAGCCTTTGCAAAATCTGCGCATTTAAGGTCTGCTTTCTTAAAAAATCAGAGATCTCCACTGCCTGACTGATTTCTGATATAAAGTGGGTCTCAGATTGTACAAGAAACACCTTGCCATTTCTTTAAAATATGAGCATTTATTTTACCCCAGTATGTTCAATGGAGCTTCTGCGCTAGCCTGCCGATCCTGACGGGACGTATGCGAGTTGACGGCTTTTTGTCTCGTTTTACGCTTGAGCAACTAAATGAAAGCCAAAGTCTGTTACTGATTGTATTTTAATTACAATACAGCATCAATGCTGTAAAAGGAACCGTATAAAATGGAAAAAAGTCTGTTCACCGGAAGTTTATCAATATGGGAAGAAGCACTTGCTGTGCATATATCCTATTCGATTGTTAAGTGGTGACGTGTTTGTGACGTATGTATACTGTTTCCGGGTCCAAGCCGGACCTGGATTTAGCCCAAAACTAGACTAGTCGTCAAATAAACAGAAATGAATGACCACACATATAAAGTCTGTCTAATTTGTCTATTTGACGACTAGTCTAGTTTTGGGCTATTCTTAGATGTCTATTAGATTTTCACTGACAGCCCTTGTTTTAGCCAAGCTGTCTATGATAAGATGTCTATTAGTTTTCTATTAAACCTATAATAGTTTGCTGGGTTCTCACTCAGGGCTGTCTATGCTAATGAGGAAGAGATCATGAAGGGCCCTATCATACACCCGGCGCAAGGCGCGGCGCGGCGCAATAGTCTTTTGGTAGTTTCAGCTTGGCGCAAGAGTCGTTTTGAGGCGTTGCGCCACGATGTTTAAACAGCAAATGCATTAGCGCTCATATGTGCGCCCATAGGCGTTCTGGTCTAAAAAGGGAGGCGTTCTGAGGCGGACCGCTGGCGCGTTGCTATTTTGAGAAACTATAATAGATTTTTCATTAGACCAAAACAAACCCGGTCTAAACTCTGGCGCAAAGTTGCGCCTCGCTTACGCACTGCTTAATACACACAAGAGAGCAATAGGCAAATATCTTTACATATAAAAAAATGTAATTATTAAGGATATATATAGTATATAATAAGAATAGATATAGGCTATGAATATAAAGGATTAAAATATTACAAAACATTATTTTCTAGCCTACATAAATATGAAAAATCCCTGCTTTTATGTCTTCTTCATTTCGGGAGGCTTTTTCAGTTCATTCATAACAATTTGCTTTTGTCTAATGTTATTATTATTAGCAGTATTATTTATTATATCCATATTTATATTTGTTTTATTAAAAACAAGCTTAGATTTGCCCACCTGTCAGGTTTTAGACCATATGGGGCACAACATGCGTTTTAGGATATAACTCAGGTTTTTGAGCACACTTCGTTATTGTTGTTCATTTATTCGTTTGCTGGAAATTAGAACTGAATTTAGAAATAGTTTTAAAACGAATTTTTGCGCTTAACAAACGGAATTAATTATTTATAGACTAATTGATGTCTGTGCGTAAAGGTTTCCCTATCCAAGAGCGAAAGTGAAAGTGATCCATTATCTCTCATTCTCACGCAGTAGATGCTCTGTTTAACAGTTTTCTGTTAAAAAAAACTGTTAACTGTTAACTGTTTGCTAGTGAAATGCTCAGTTTTTCCACTTAGACTTACTTTACGTCATGTAAATAGCGAATGCGCTTATGGCGTGACGCAGCTGCCTCTTAAAGGGAATGGGAGATGAGACTCTAATTGGTTTATTCTCAAAACACACCTATAACTCATTATAGAAAATAAACTCAACCCTTTTAGACCATGTGCCACGGCGCAAAGCAGATTTTCCCGTCCTTAAATTAGCAAAAATGCGTTCTGACTCGCCCTGAAAGCGTTTGCGCCCTGCAGTTTGCGCTCTGCGCTTAGACCGTCAAAATAGAGCCCTATGTGTGATTTAAAAAATAACAATTCATTAATTTTTTTCCATTAGTGGCTGGTTAAATTCACACATTGTTGCCACACAACTGTGTTTAAACTACTAATGAAGAGATTTTTGGAAAGTTGGTCCCTTGTAAATTGTCCTGTAATGTTTCCTACGCACCCTTTTTAGCCTGCTCCTCTTCTAGTCTCTTTTTCTCATTGGCTATAGCGTCTATTTTTGCTTGGTAAATATCGGCCAGTTCCTTCCAGTGGACTCTGTTGTTGTTCAAGCCATCAAACATGGGAGTGATTTCTTTGTGGAACCTAGAAAATTCCTGTGTGGGGAAAAAAAAGAGGTCTGTTACTGCAAGCATTCACAAGCCCATCTGTAATTGCCGATCCATCATTCCCTGAGCTGACATTCCAGAAGAGGCCATTATGGACAGACGCCTAGTTTTTCGCTTACACAGATGTCGGGATTGTGCAAAAACAAATGTGATTTCAACTTGACAGATTTACCTTGTACACGAACGAGCACACAAAGTCAATGAAACCGCACTGCATCTTCGGAAGTTCATCTGATTTGTTTCTGTCCATCATGGGCTGGGGAAAGATTCATCAGATAGAGAATCAATCAGTCACTGCTTTTTCCACAGTCTCAAGCTAAAAGCAAAAACTCTGGTCTACACAAACTCACAATGGGTTGTTGGTCTAGCACAGTCCTCTCCAAGTCTCCCTGTTCCCAGAATTCAGCTGCCACCATGAGAGCCACCTACAGAAAAGAGCAACGTTAGTTCAAATAAGTATGCCATGAGCTGGATTTTTTTAAAAGTAATTTTGGAGCATCACATGAGAAATAAGTGATGGGAAGGCCAGATTTCTAAAAAAAAAATACCTTATATCACAGATAAACGTTTTTACGCTTGCGACAAAGGGTTAATGTGAATGATGGGAGATGGAGGCTGAATAAACTCTGACATAGTGAACAAAGTCTAATCAGCAGTTTCCAATATGCTTGCTGTGTTTACTGCTGGTTGCGAGGTTACCAATACTAGAGTCAGCCTATGGAGGATGAAACCCGCAAAAACAATAAATAAATATGCAAAAATATAAATAAATAAGTAAATAAATCCATAAATTCCAGCATAAATAAATATATAATTAAAAGTTCGGGCAGGTAAATAATTAAATAAATTACAGGAATATTGGGGCCCTTTCAAACGTTGATTCATTCTTGAACGTAGTTACTTATTTACTTTTCCTCAGCTCAACATGCTAATGAGAGGGTCTCTGTCAATCATCAGAAGCCAGTCAAAAAAACCGAATGCAATTTTTTTCTACCGATCAACAAATAATGGCATAAAGATGGCCATTTGATGATGGACATACACGCTCATTAGCATGTTGAGATGAGAAAAAGTAAATACGCAACTCATGAGTTTAGCATTTTCCTAATCCCCCAACATTAGTGTAATTTATTTAATTATTTACCTGCCTGCACTATTAATTATTTAGATATTTATTTATGCAGGAATTTGTGGATTTTAAAATACATTTATTTATGTATTTGCATAGTTATTTATTATTTTATTCATGCAGGAATTTATACTTTTATTTACCCATTTTTTTATATTATTTTTGTATTTATGTATTCATAGTTTTTGCAGGTTTTGTTCTCCACATCAGCCACTCAACTACAACTTTAAAGGTCCTGTGAAGTGCTTTGAGATGTAATGTTTAATGTATTCTCAATCAAAACACACAGAGAGGGCGGGACATAGTGTAGCTCCTCCTCTTTTTAAAGAACAGCCAACAGTGTTTTTGTTTTATCGCTGCTCTGCATCAAATCTGAGGCGTCTTGAAGTGGGCGGGGTATGTCAGATACTAGAGAGCATTTGATTGGTCATAAGATGTGATGAGAAACTGAAGTATGAGGTGACATGAATAAAACTGATGATCTATATAGGCGGACGTGACATGCTTTACATGTTTAAATCAGTTTTATATCTTTTAAATGTGAATTGTGTCACTGTTTTGATGCACACTAGCTTATAGATATCCTAAAAACTAACCATACAGATACTAACATCTAAAAAACTTTATTTTAATTTCATGGGAGCTTTAAGGAAATGCACCTAATTTAATTGCAAACTCGGCTATTGATTGGACAATCCTGAATATGAATAAACAAAGCTGTGCCTACTTTGCTCTGGACTTCCCATGGCTTGGTAATGGCAGACAAGTCACATCCGGTCATCATCATTGCCCTGTGTAAATTCAAACATCACATCTTTGCATCATGACTTTAACATGTTAATTAGTATCCAAAGAGAAATAACACTTACATGATGATTTCCTTCCTGATGGGATTGTTGGCCACATGGGCGACCATCTCCTCCTCCTTAGTCATAGGTTCGGTGGCGTCAACGATCTTCTGGAACATTGTCCTTTTTCTGGGTTGAAGAAAACGAGACCATCATCAGTATGATGCATTCGGGAGCGGTTCTACAAGACCAGACAAAAACTTACTTGAAATACAAAGCCAGGTCAGTCGCAATGATGCAGACATCATGCAAATGCTGGACCGTCTCGAACTGGCGTTTCTGCAGACTTTGAAAGATGTTAACGTTCTGTATGAAAAGAGAAGCCAAAGACAGCATTGGGTTAGTTCCTGTGTTAAACTGTGGAAGACTTTGTGCTTGGTGAAGCTAGCACACCTCTTCAGCCATCAGATTCTTGCTGTATTGAAGATGGTGCCTTTCCAGGATGGAGGAGCCGTGAAGCTTGGCCAGAGGTGATGCGCTCCTGCATTGGAAACAGACTGTGAGCTTAATGCCTTCCATGCTTTATTTGAAAAAAACAGACATATATTCTGACTGACTTTGTCTGGTAGAGATTGTTGGTACCCCTGTGGTCAATATCATGACAGAATGCAGCCGCTACCATCGCGAAGGCATCAAGATCTGTGTAGTATCTTCTCAGCTTTCCGGTCTGTTGGACAAGCAAGTGATGATCAATACTGTGATGTTTTCGGTAGTAGACAAGCATCTGATGCACGCACCAAAGACTCACCTGCAGAAGACAGAACATGGTCTGGCCCACGTTGAAGCCATGCCTCCAGTTATGGTAGGTGATGTCTCTGTAGCCCTTACGCACCGTGTACATCCATCTGGTCAGGACCTGGTGTAAGAGTCATGCATTTGATGCTGTAATGCTATGTAAATTTCGATTAAAATGAAAATGTTATGAGCTATAATGTAATGTAATGTGTGTATTTATATAGCGCATTTATTGTTTATACGCCCAAAGCGCTTCACAATCATGAGGGGGCGTCTCTGCACACCAACACCAGTGTGCAGCATCCACTTGGATGATGTGACGGCAGCCACAGGACAACAGCGCCAGTGCGCTCACCACACACCAGCTATTGGTGGAGTGGAGAGACAGTGATAGAGCCAATTCGGTAGATGGGGATGATTGGGAGGCTATGATTATAAGGGCCGATAGAGGGACTTTGGCCAAGACACCGGGGTTACACCCCTGCTCTTTCACGAGAAGTGCCATGGGATTTTTAATGACCACAGAGAGTCAGGACCTCGGTTTAACGTCTTATCTGAAAGACGGCGCCCACTGACAGTGTAGTGTCCCCTTCACTTTCACTGGGGCATTAGCACTCACATAGACCACAGGTTGAGCGCCCCCTGCTGGCCTCACTAACACCACTTCTAACAGCAACCTAGTTTTCCCTAGTGGTCTCCCTAGAAATATACACTAGATATCGCATAGTGACCCTGAGCATGCGTCAATACCGCCGCCACATTGGTACAGTGCTCCCAGGACAAATGTCAACCGCACTAGTCAAGACAGTGTTATTACGTGAAGATCCGGGACTTTAACGCTGTCTACGGGTGTAGTAACGAGCAAAAAAAGAAAACAAAGCACAAAGGAAGAACATTTCATAGGTAATATTAAGTTTTTTTCTGTTTTTGTATGTTCTGAACTTTTGTGCTAATCAGGTAACGTTATTGATGATAACAGTCACTTACTGCATTCACCATGAGGCAAAGCAGCTCCAACTCGCACTAAACACTCGGCTTATGCTAGTTTTGTTGAATAAAATCAGCAAACAATGCAAAAGAAATATGACAACGAGATGCTGTGGTGCCAGAAACTTGTATTATTGTCGGCTAACGTTAGTGAAAGAGTCGTTCGGGGGATTCATTCCCAAAGAAGCGCTCCCTCCGTCAGTATGAGAAGTGAAAGCAGGAGAGGAGCTGTGTTTCAGGACATGATTAGATTAAATTTAACAGGGAGGGTGAATAGTACATTTCTGTACACACAAACACAAGCTTTTTTGTCAGGAATGCCCGTGCGGTCACTGATCTATCAATGTAGAAAAGTGATGTAAAATTATAATTTTAGTAATTAGAAAAAAAAATTACATACTAACATCCAGGAAAACTCCCGATCATAGATATATGTGTATATGTGTATATCTCTGGCTTTGGATGGCCACAGTCTTCCACTGTACATTGGTCCCACATTCATTTCAAAGGAGCGCTACCCTGTAGCAAGATGGCGGCGCTATTGACGCATTCCGTCCAATAGACAACAATAGGCCAGGCGACATCTAATGTATATATCTATGAGTGGTCTCCCATCCAGGTACTGACCAGGCTCAGCCCTGCTTAGCTTCAGTAGAGTGATATGGCTTTAAGTTTTTTTAAAGTGGACGTTTGATTTCCACTACATTTTGTGTAGAGTGACCATTGTATGTCTTATAATTGCATGTAATTTATAAGAAAATATAACTAATAGAAGTATAAATAATACTAGAATAAAATGAACTGAAATTAAATTCCTTCGAAGTTAGGAGTAAAAAGTACCCTTACTCTAAAATTTTCTAACAAAGCAACACAAGACAGCATAAATATAAATATGTTTTCAGGCTAAAGTAAATTTATTTGACTTAGAATAAAACACTGATCACTTTTATGCTCTAAAAGTTAATCTAAGTGTACATCTTCAGGTTTATCAACAAAATTGATAGGCCTAGATATGGAGCAGCTTCAGGTATCATAAGTCTTTTGTGGTAAATCATCTTTAAAGTTACGTTTGAGTCATAAAACTGTGTGTATTTAGCCTTTCACACACTCAACGATATATTAAGAATCTTAAAATGGCAAATATCTTCTCTGGGATCTAAACCCATGAGGGGGCACACTTGTTTTCAAATAAGTGATGTAACATCGAATGAAAAGCTTGCTTGCTCAAAGTCTAGTGTGTTGATGCGGACGTCTCACCTCTGCTGGCACCTTGAACTTCTCCACCACTCCCAGTTCAAAGAAGCAGCGAATGCCGCACTTGATGAGATCGGTTTCAGTCAGAGGGAAGTCACTGAAACTAAATTCTAGCAGATCGACATCTTTGGCCTCTGGAATGTTGGCTCTCTGTGTGTTAAAATAAAAGTGGATTTAGTAAATCATCCTTTTTAATAATCAGTCTCGTGTTCACTCTGAAATCTGGTCGTACCAAGAGTTTGTACATTTCTTTCTGATCGCAGTCTTCCGGGTTCTGGTCAAACTTCTCCTTTGTGTTCTAATGAGACACATAAAATGTTTAGTCAATGTTATAAAACAAGACTGGACTTTTTTTCTGACAGGAAAAAGCTCATCATCTAACCAGAATCTGCTGGACTTCAGCCGGAGTGGCTTTGGTCTGATACATGACCATTTCTTCTGCAATTTCTTTCCTCCACTCCATCCGGTTCAGTTTGTCATATGTGTCGCAGTTCAGTACGGACCATCCCAGGAACTGTGTTAGAGCCTGAAATAAAGTTCAATGAAACAGAAAGTAAAGTCGCAGCACATGATACTAAGAGTCAAAGCTGTTGTGAGCGTGTGGCCACTCACTTCAGTAATCTGTTCATCCTGCTCTTCGAATGGCTTGCCGTCTTTTCGATTGAAGAAAGTGGCCACACCGACAATTTCTTCTTTCTTGTTGACAATGGGAAGGGAGAGAACGTTTTTGATCACGAAGCCAGTCTCGTCCACAGCTTCTTTCTGAAAAGTTGCACAAGACAGTGTGATGATTAGAAGAATGGTTACAGTCACCTCGATCATAGCACGTTTTCTCTTTTGGTAACACATTAGTTCAAATTATACTGAAGTGCCAATTCTCACTATTAACTAGTGGCTTATTACCTGCCTGTTATTAAGATATTGGCTGTTTCAAGAGTTCACACTTAGCTGATGATTGATTATAAAGCTTGTTTGGCATGCTGTTCCGGGAGAGAGCCCTGAGCTTATAAGATCCTCGAGCTCTGGGCTCCCTCCCGTTGCAGGATGAGAGGGGAGTTTGAGCTCAGGTAGATCTCCCCCATTGCTTATTGTAGATAAGTGTTATATATGGATGCGGAAAAGAGGTGTACTCAGAGCTTGGCTAAAGATATTTTGGGTTAATTGTTTAGAGTGCTTGTTTTTGAACTGTGGGAGGAAACCGGAGGACCCAGGGAAAACCCACGTAAGCACGGGAAGAACGAGCAAAATTCTGCACAGAAATGTCGCCTGGTTTAGAAGGGAATTAAACCAGGGGCATTTTTGCTGTGAGGCAACAGTGCTAATCAATGGCCACCGTGTCGTCCGTTTAAAAGAAGGGAAGGCAGGGTTGGGTGGGTGGGGGGTTGGGGGTTTCAAGACGAAGATATTGAGATGAGAAAACTGGTTATTTATAGTGAGTTACGAATCGTCTGATAGGATAATTAGTCATGAGCTCAGGCCCGGATTGGCTAATCGGGAGGACCGGGAGAATCCCAGGTGGGCCGGTCCGTTTTTTGGCCACGAGGGCCGTTGTCCCTAGCTCCAGAACCTGTTGCTCTCAGCAGTCACACTTTTTAAATTTATTTACTTGACCACAGCCTTTTTATTCATTATTTTACCGCAACTCTATCACTATTCAACACACAGTTGTTGTGGTCCAGCAGTTAGCACGTTAGGTTACGACGCCACGGACCTGGGTTCGATCCTCGTTAGAGTAATAACTTGTTTTCATTTGTATTGTTAAGACATATAATACTGTTTGGGTTGTAACAGTAAAGCAGCTGTTTTCTCAAAAAAAGACGTGATAGTGTCATTAGAAATGACCTTATTTTAATATAGTCAGTCGTGAACTGAGGTGGGCCGGTCTGAGGCTTGAAACTCCAGGGCTGAAAAGGAGTCCCACTCCGGCCCTGCATGAGCTAATGCTGGAACAGCAGTGAACACCCAGGCAAAAAAAAGTGCACTAAAATGCACTTTATATAAGTATACTTAGTACACTTTTCAGTAATGGACTAAAAGTGATCTATTTTCACACACTAATTTTGTACTTAATGTACTAAAAGATAATATTAAGTATATGTTCAGTTAAACTTAATACCATCTAAGTGTACTCAAATGTGCTATTTTGAGACACCATGAAATTGAACTAAAATGTGCGTTTAACATACTATAACTGTATTTTAATATATATATATATATATATATATATATATATATATATATATATATATATATATATATATATATATATATATATATATATATTTAGTTACAACTAGAAATACACTTGCACCCTACTTTTAAACATTTAAATATATGTATGACTAATTTAAAGTATGATAGTAATATATTAAAAGAATATACAAATTGTAAAAAAAAAAAAAAAAGTGTACTTAATACTGTATTAAAAGTATTTTGGGAAAATGTACTTCTACTACAATACATTACTAATAGATTTTTTATATATTAACTTATTTTAAACTTAGGATTAGTATGTAAACAGTGTACTAAAAATCAACTGATGGTTAAAGCATTTAAAGCACACTTTTAAAAAACACACTAATAAAACTCTTGGATGTTTTTACTGTAGTGTACTTTATTGTGGTACACTAAAAATGTATTTAAGTATTACTGGTATTTAGTATACTTTTGTCAAGTGTGCTAAAGTCCTACTGAAGTATAAACATACTTTTAATTAGTATATTTATAGTGTAAAACCATCAAACTTTTATTTAGCACAAAAAATAGCAATGTACTCAAAATGTATTTGCGGGTATTTAAGTGTATTTTAATTGCTTTTAATTATATATTTTTTCACCAGGGCAATCATAAGCACGTGATCCTCTCGAAATGTGTTTATAAATAAACTTCACTTATTTGTACACATTCACTGAAAAAATGCTTTTCCTGAAGTTTTTGTCTTGTTTCTACTCCAAATTTATAACAATTCTTAAATCAAGAAGCATTTTCTAGACAAGTAAACAGTATTGTCTTCTTTTGAGAAATAATTAGTCAAAATTACGTGAGTTTTTTTTTTCTTAAAGCAAGCAAAATAATCTGCTAATGGAGTAAGCAAAAAATAAACAAGATTATTTTTCTCCAATTTGCATTTAGTTAATGGTTTCTCAGTAGTGAGAATAGTACCTTAAAGGGACAGTTCACCTAAAAATGAAACTTCTGTTATCATTTACTCTTCTCTCAATTGTTCCAAACCTATTTGGCTTTCAATCTTCTGTTCTTCCCAACTGAGGATATTTAGAAAAAATCTGGAAACCTGTAATCATTGACTTCCATAGTATTTCAAAGTTTACAGTCAATGTTTACAGGTTTCCAGCAGCCTGATCTCACGAGAAAACGTAAGTATTTTATGTTTTGGCAGTTTAGTGGCTAATTCGTACGAATTCGTACGAGTTCAGTCATAAGAAAATGTAAGATTTTAAAAAGGAGGCGTGGCACCTAAACCTAACCGTCATTGGGGGATACGCAAATCGTACTAAAATGTATGAATTAGATCGTACAAATTTGTACGAATTAGCCACTAAATAAGAAAGTTACGAATTGCCGTGAGATTGTGTTGGTTTCCAGCTATCCTCAAAATATCGTCAACAAAAGAAACACTTCAGGGTGTATAACTCATGAGAACGTCTTCACTTTTGAGTACTACTCTTAAACTATCCCTCATTTTTAATGTTACAGGTTTGTGTCTATTTCAGGAATAATATGAGCTCTGAGCGGGATTTAATCCTGGGTTGTTTTACGGTACCTGGAATGTGAAGTATTCATCAGCAGCAACATTCATCATGTTACAGATCTGCAGAAGAAGAGAAATAAAACAAGATTTCTCCAAGTCAGCTTTGGCAGGAGTATAATGCGGTTGTTTAGACCACTACATGGCCCTTTTTACTTGGGTTAAGTGGTCGTATAACATGGGAAAGCGTTTAATGCATGGACTTACAAAGCCGTTTTCAGCAACATAGCTGGGCAGTCCACTAACCAGTGCCCAGTGGTCTGCAGGAGGGTTCCTGGAGGAATGAAAGTTTAATTGTGAAATATTATGTTACATTTGCAGAAGCTTGTAGACAAAAACACTCCCATATGTGCATGTTGAGCACACATTTCGAAATCAGTTTCCACAAACCACACCCGTCACTAAACTTCATGATTCAGCTCATTATAATCTAAAGGATAATGCACTCTAACAATCATGGGTTATTAATCTCAACCTCAAAATGCATAACCTGATCATGCACAACCAAAATCCATGCTGATAACACCAAGTTGTTTAAAAGAAACTTTGGTGTTGTGTGTTTTTGGCTCTATTGTTAATTATTCATTCATCCATTTTCTTTTCGGCTTAGTCCCCTTATTAATCCAGGTTTGCCACAGCGGAATGAACCGCCAACTTATCCAGCACGTTTATACGCAGCAGACGCCCTCCCAGCCACAACCCATCCCTGGAAAACATCTACACACACTCATTCACACACATTCACTACGGACAATTTAGCTTACCCAATTCACCTGTACCGCATGTCTTTGGACTGTGGGGGAATATTGTTAATTATAATAATGTAAATAACTATATGTATTCATTTAGCTGACTCTTTTTATTCTTACAACTGACAATAAAAGAGCACCTCAAATCACCAGAGAGTAGCATTATGTAAATGCCATGACAAGGGTTAGTTAGTTTAGAAGTTTGTTGTCATTATTAATATTATTATTGAGTCCTTATAACAAAGTGTATGGAGGAAAGTGTCTGGTGTGTATGGAGAGGAAAGAGTGTGTTTCCTGTCAAGCCCACTCTCCTGTCTGAAGCACAATTGTTTAAGGGAACTTTCAAAGGAAATTTGGATAGATTTAAAACAGGTTGAAGACAAGGATGGCCAACCAAAAACTGGGTTAAATGACGGGTTAATACAACCCGAGTTTGGATAAACAATTGACAAACCCATTCACTAGGTTAAAGTAGGTTAATAAATTGAATTGAAATGTTTGGGGTGCATGAATGAATGTTCAGCTTATTAAATGTCTTCTAGCAGCACCAATATGTGTGTAGCACATTTAGAGCAAATGACACACATCTCTTCAACAGTAACACTGTTTTCAAACACGATTATTTGTAATATCAGTGGAAAGTCAATGTCAGATTAACAAAAAGTGTAAAATATCAGTAAAGCCAATTATTGGTTGATCTCTGTATATCTGTTTCAGGATTTGTCCACAGCCCTGTAGAAGTCAGATACTTACCAAAAATGAAGGCATACTATAATGTGTGGCAGAGTATATTATACATAACTGCATATATTATGCATATTATTTTCTTTATTTTTATAAAATGTGATCCTGGAGCACAAAAACTAGTCATAAGTGTGGATTTATAGAGATTGAGATCTTCTGAAAGCTGAATAAATAATCATTCCATTGATGTACACTTTGTAAGACAGCTGAGATATGACTATTTACAAATCTGCAATCTGGCGGTTCAAAAAAACTAATACTGATCAAAATGCCTATTAAGCTGTCTGAATAAAGTGCTTAGCATTGCACCTTACGAATCAAAAGTTGAGGTTTTTATATATTTATATATATATTTTTGGGAAATTAACTAAATGTTTTCATGAAACATGATCTCTAATTAATATTAGAGTTACTTTTGTCATTAACATTGCCTAATTTTGACCCATACAATATTTTTAAATATATATATATATATATATACAGTTGAAGTCAGAAATATTAGCCCCCTTCGATTTTTTTTCTTCTTTTTAAAATATTTTCCAAATATTTTTTCTTCTGGAGAAAGTCTTATTTGTTTTATTTCGGCGAGAATAAAAGCAGTTTTGAATTTTTCATGAACCATTTTAGGGACAAAATTATTAGCCCCTTTAAGCTATATTTTTTCTCGATAATCTACAGAACAAACCACTGTTATACAATAACTTGCCTAATTACCCTAACCTGCCTAGTTAACTTAATTAACCTATTTAAGCCTTTAAATGTCTCTTTAGGCTGTATAGAAGTGTCTTGATAAATATCTAGTAAAATATTATATACAGGCATCAGGGCAAAGATAAAATCAATCTGTTATTAGAAATGTGTTATTAAAATTATTATGTTTAGAAACGTGTTAAAAAAAAATCTCTCCGTTAAACAGAAATTGGGGATAAAATAAACAAGTGGTCTAATAATTTAGGGGGGTTAATAATTCTGACTTTGACTATATATATATATATATATATATATATATATATATATATATATATATATATATATATATATATATATATGAGCAATATTACATCAGTAGCAGTGCGATATGGCTGTATATCGGCACTGGTGGGAGGCGTGCGTTGTTAGTGCCCCCACCAGTGCCGATATACAGCCATATCGCACTGCTATGAGTGTGATATTGCGTTTATACAACAGTTTGACGGCATAATTGTGTATAAAAAACTAAATCAAACATGGAGAGTCTCAAAAACCCTTTTGTATGAGGAACTACTTTCTTCCAACTTGGATTTAATTCATAAGCTGACAGTTAAACAGCTGAGCAAGCATCTTTTAAAGATTCTAACGACACTTTAGATCTGTAGTGTCTGCTTTTTGCTGGCTGTATGTAGGCGGAGTAATACACAAAGGGTGCTGATATTACTTAAATATATCACGGCTATCAGCCAATCAGATTCGAGAACCAGACAGAACTGTTTTATATATATATATATATATATATATATATATATATATATATATATATATATATATATATGTATATATATATATATATGTAGTTTTTTTAACCTTTATCATGATAGGACAGTAGAGATTTTAGACACGAAAGCCTTGTATACAGAGAGAGGGAAAGGATCGGCAAAGAACCTCGAACTAGGCTATTGGCAACAACCCATACACTTTATTTTGGCTATTTCTAAAAATATACTGGTGCAACATAATATATGCAGTTCATTATTACAAATGAGCAAATAATGTTCGTAAAAACCCCCTTACGGTATAACTTTGATCTCTTCTTTGCCTTCCAGCAGATAATCAATGATCTTGTAGAAGATGATCTCCTGTTAGATTAAAAACAACAACAAAAACAAAGTGTTATGATATAGTGGACAGTTTTATTTTTTGACTGAAGTGAACAGAAATTGTTACCCTGCCATCAGGAGTCTTCGGGCCTTTATACGGCTCCACGTCTCCCAGTTTAATCGGCCACTCGTCGTAGAACTCCTGAACACATAAAGTAAGGTCAAATGTTATTATAAGTTGATGAATCAATGCGCAGATGGAGGACGAGGGCTGCACGATATTGGAGGAATCGAACATTGGGATAATTAGCCATTCTGCAATACACATTGCGATATGAATACAATTTCACCAGAGGATGTGAATATCCCTATTTGGAAAGAATTAATCATTTTAGACTGATTGAGCTGGCCCAGTTGGCGTTTCTGTGTGGAGTTTGCATGTTCTCCCTGCGTTTGCGTGGGTTTCCTCCGGGTACTCCGGTTTCTCCCACAGTCCAAAGACATGCGGTACAGGTGAATTGGGTAGGCTAAAATGTCCGTAGTGAGTTTGTTTATGTGTGGATGTGTCCCAGAGATGGGTTGCGGCTGGAAGGGCACCCGCTGCATAAAAACTTGCTGGATAAGTTGGCGGTTCATTCCGCTGTGGCGACCCCGGATTAATAAAGGGACTAAGCCGACAAGAAAATGAATGAATATGTGTGTGAATGAGTGTGTATGGATGTTTCCCAGTGATCAGTTGCAGCTGGAAGGGCTTCCGCTGCGTAAAACATATGCTAGATAAATTGGTGGTTCATTTCGCTGTGGCGACCCCTGATTGTTAAAGGGACTAAGCCATGAGAAAATGAATGAATTGCTATTAATTTAACAAATAGTAGAATTTCTCATACCTGAATGCTTTCAAAATCATTATACCGTCACGGGCCTCAAAAACATACGAAAATTAGACTTAACATAGCAAACACTCAAATAAAAGACGTTTGTTGGTTGTTCAAACAACTTATTTAAAATGAGCTGAAAATAATATATTTTTGATGTTTTGTTCGGGACAACTTAAATGTTTTATGTTCATAACATCATTAAAGACCCTACTCATCTAGGACACAAACTTTTTGCACTACTCCCATCAGGGAAAGGCAATTAAGACCTGCACAAACAGGCTAAAGGACAGCTTCTTCCCCAGAGCTGTAGCCTGTGCCACCCCTCCTCTTCATACACATTCACCAACAGTCACCCTCCCTCACTCCCTATCTTCCTGATGTTCTGCTGCTATTGCACAGACACTTTATGGATATTAATGTTTGCACTCATTTGCCATAATGTAAATACTGTGACTGTACATCTAGTATATTTTATCTTACATCTTATATTTTAGTATTATGTACTATTAGTACTATTGTTTGTTTTTCTCTTTTTATATTGCTGCTGGTCTCTGTGAGTTCCCAAACAAATTTCGTTGTATAACTACAATGACAATAAAGGTTCTTATTCTTATTATTCAGTCCACTTCAATTCGTAGAATCAATTAAGCTATCTTAATCAATTTGTGTTGGGACAACATTTATCACAGTGTATCGTGAGACGTGACCAGGGTTTATTTAGTGTTTAAAATGCAAATCCAATTAGATCCACTTTATTTGGTAAACAAAGCAAGTCTCTTATAATATATCTACTAAAAGACAGAAAATATGACTGTACAAACTGCATTGTACACAAATCAGACGAACATTTTCGTCTAAAAAAAGATTTACACACATTTACTCGAGTAAATAAACAGAATTAATGATGGGCTAAAAATCTGTGCGCAGATTCTGTGTGGGCCTAGATGTGACTACTGCAAGTAATATTCCAATATATTGTGCAGCCCTATGTAGGATTGTCACAAACCTTCTCTTTGGTCATGTCCAGCAGGCCGCACGAGTACCTTTCGCACTGAAGGTAAGTTCTGACGGTGTACAGAGCCTTGTGAAACTGACGCTCGATGTCCGTCAGCTCTTCAAACACTTTGCTCGCAGACCACAGAAGAACCTGCACCAGTGGTTTACAGTCAAACTCAGCTTTGTATTGCATTATTAAGAGATGATGTGGTCTGTGTGGTTACCTGGCTTCTTCTGGATTCCACATTATACATGTAATTGGTGTAATGCTGCAGGGCGATGACTGTGGCAAATATGATGTACTTGCTGAATACCTGAAAAACATTCGCAACACATTTACTAAATGGTGAATAATGTCTGCTTACAGCTGAAGTCAGAATTATTAGCCCCCCTTTGAATTTTTTTCTCTTTTAAATATTTCCCAAATGATGTTTACCAGAACAAGGAAATTTTCACAGTATGTATAATAATATTTTTTTTTTCTGAAGAAAGTCTTATTTGTTTTATTTCAGCTAGAATGAAAGCAGTTTTACATTTTTTAAACACCATTTTAAGGTCAAAATTATTAGCACCTTTAAGCTATATATTTTTTCGATAGTCTACAGAACAAACCACCGTTAAACAATAACTTGCCTAATTACCCTAACCTGCCTAGTTAACCTAATTAACCTAGATAAGCCTTTAAATGTCACTTTAAGCTGTATAGAAGTGTCTTCAAAAATATCTAGTCAAATATTATTGACTGTCATCATGGCAAAGATAAAATAAATCAGTTATTAGAAATGAGTTATTAAAACTATTATGTTTAGAAATGTGTTGAAAACATCTTCTCTCCGTTAAACAGAAATTTTTGGAAAATAAACAAGGGAGGCTAATAATTCTGACTTTAAAGCGATAGTTTAACGCAAACTGACAATTTACCCGCTATTTACTTAAATGGTTCCAAATCTTTATGAGTTTCGTTATTCTGTTGATACTATTGAAGGTAATGGTTACCAGTTTCCAACTTTCTTCAAAATGTCTTCGTTTGTGTTCATCAGAAAAAAGAAACTCAAACAATTAAGCTTTTAAATAACAGTTTTGTGTGAATTATCCCTTTAAATTAAGTACATATGATGAAGAAACTAATAAAACACTAATAAAAGGATGCACTCAAGATAACGAATGCTCGGGTGCCAGATTTTGTAAAGTTTGTTCATCAAACAGTATCAGATTTTTACCCTGTCTTACAGCATATTAAAAATAGTATTTACTGTATACACCAGGCGGGCTTAACCCTGTTCCTGGAGATCTACCTTTGTACAGATTTCAGCTTCAACCCTTATCAAACACACATAATTTAATTAATTAGGACTGAACAGCACTTGATCAATACAGGCAGGTGTGTTTGATATGGGCTGCAACTGAAATGGTATACACTATATTATTATATAAGTACAATTATAAAATATTGCTGAATACAAATTCATTTATTTTACAGGTGAAGACAGAATTATTAGCCCCCCTTTAAATTTTATTTTCTTTTTTAAATATTTTCTAAATGATGTTTAACAGAGCAAGGAAATTTTCACAGTATGTCTGATAATATTTTTTCTTCTGGAGAAAGTTTTATTTGTTTTATTTCGGCCAGAATAAAAGCAGTTTTTAATTTTCTAAAAAACATTTTTTGGACAAAATTATTTGCCCCTTTGAGCAATTTATTTTTCGATAGTCTACAGAACAAACCATCGTTATACAAAAACTTGCCTAATTACCCTAACCTGCCTAGCTAACCTAATTAACATTATTAAGGTTTTAAATGTCACTTTAAGCTGTATAGAAGTGTCTTAAAAAAATCTCTAATCAGAAATTATTTATTGTCATCATGTCAAAGATAAAATAAATCAGTTATTAGAAATGAGTTATTAAAACTATTATGTTTAGAAATGTGCTGAAAAAATCTTCTCTATGTAAAACAGAAATCGGGAATAAAATTAAACACAACACAACTTGTAATCTTTTTCTTATTTACTATTTTTCATATTGTGATTTTTGCTGTATTTAATAAATAAAACAGGGTGAGTTTGAAATAATCTTCCCTCCGGTTAAACAAATTTGGGAAAAAAATAAACAGGGGGGCTAATAATTCTGACTTCAACTGTATATAAAAACACACACTTCACTATTGGTATTCATATATGTAACAAGATTTTGATGCTATTTTGACCACTGAAGTAGAAAATGGAAATCTTCTATACTCACATCTTCATCTTCTTTGGAGAATTCGTTTGCTCCGACCTTGTTTATTGCCATGACCACACCGAGTGGGTCTTTTCCCTGCATGAGTGGAGCGGCCATCATGTTTTTAGTGGTGTATCCCGTCTGCTTGTCCACAAAATCACTGAACCTGGGATTCTATAGAGAAACACATGTGTTGAGAACAGAAACACTGACTTAAATATAGGTTGGTCACATAATCCAATACATCTGGAGTTAAAATGAAATAAACACAAATTTCCATTGTGCTGCTTCTTCATTCGTTGTCCTTTTAAATGGTTGAAAGGTGTAACACTGATTGATGTACATTAATAATTCTAAAAAAGGAGAATGTAGCATATAAATAATATTATTAATACATATGTCTAGACTTCAGATCATTACTCACTCAAAAAAAACTTGCTTGTTCAAACTACTTATTTACAACGTAATTGTTTTATCCACTTAAATTCAATCCACTTAATGTTTTGTAAAAATAATTAAATTAACTTAATTGACTTGAACTGGAACACCATGAAGGAATTGTGTGGAATCCAGCATTTTACAGTGCTGGTTGCAATATTTTAAAGCAAGTATTGCTAGTAAATTTATAGGCCAAATTGACCATAGGCTGCAGATATACTGATATTGATCTATTTCTAGAAGTCATTTGGATTTGTTCTCTTGTCACTGAGACTAATTCTACCTAAATTTACACTTCTGTTATGCAAGGAAGGTTAATACTTTTAACCCTGTCTCGAATGCTTAAGCTGAGCTTGCATCGGTGTGCCATGATTAAACACCTCTCTGATATATTTAGAAAAAGAAAAGATCTTTCATTATATTCCCTTTCATATTATTTTGACACAGTAGAAAATGTGTAAATCTGCTTAATGTCAAATATGTTTCATGTTGCTAAGTGAAGAGTTTTTTTTAGCTGTTTATAATAAAGTTCATTTAACATGAGCACAACTTTTTCTGAAAGCTTTCAGATTTGAAATATTATAAGTAAAAGACTGGTCACACTTTATTTTGATGGTCTGTTTGTTGAATTTAGGTTTCATTGCATCTACATGCCAACTAATTCTCATTAGATTATAAGTAGACTGTTAGGTTGGGGTTAGTGTAAGTTGATATATACTTGCAAAGTTTATTATAGTCAGTTAAATTTCTGTTGAAGGAGCAGTATCAGCAGATATTAAGCAGACAGTCTATTAATACTCAAATGGACCATCAAAATCAAGTGTTACCAAAAGTCTTTAATATTATAAAACCTTCGCCAGTTTTGCTCATTTAAAAAGCATAAGAATTTTCTATTCCTTTTTCATAAATTTCATAATTACTTATGAGTAAACAAATGCTGATTTATGCTTGATCAATCTACATTTGACTACAAAAGAATCCAACTTTGCCTGTCAAATAATACCAGCCTGCAGGAGTTGTACTGGAATACAGAAAGTAAGCTGCTTTTCTGCATGGGGTCGACTGACCTCCATCACGCACGACTGAAAAAAAACATGTAATCCTTTGTCAAGCAAATTGTGGACCTTCACAGACCTGCCTAAGACTACTAAGAAGCTGTTGTGCTTTTAACTTGCTGTGTCTTTTTATAAATGGAGGTGTTTAAAGCATATTAGAGAACACTATAAACAGCAAAAACACAGGAGCGCTTTCTTCTGGATCTAAAATCACTTTCACTCTTGTTTTCAGTCAGTATTTTGACTAGTGTGAAATCAGCCTTTTAGACATCGCTACACTGAGAACATCATGATTAGCAGACAAAACATGGGTGGTGTTGTATTTTGGTGTCTGCAAATAGGATTTTTATATCTATAAAATGTCTTAAATGAAAATCAATAGTCAAAACAGATTTGTGTAAAAAAAAAATTCTTAATATAAGTGATAAATAATTAAAAACTTGACAAATGAATAAAACCCTGTGGTTTTAGGAATAGCAGCAAAGTATAGAGTTTTAAAGAGACATTTAATGAGTATTTTGGGTTTGCACTGTGATCCTGAACCTCTCAAGGCTCAAGTTGTTTTTACATGCAGGTTTTATTTTTATTTGCTATGTATTTTTTTTTTTTTACCAATTTTTGAACATGTTTTGACTATCTGAGAGTAAAAACTACATTTTTTGCCAATTTTGCACAGTTAAAAAATAGAGTTTGAGATGTTTCATCGGCTGCAAAACAGTTGCAGGATGACACTGTATGTCTGTAACAAAATATAAAACATTTAAAGTATTTTAAATAGCCATGTAAGAGCTAAAATATGCTGTCCATGTATGCCACTAAGCCCTACACTCTCAGAAATAAAGGTACTCATGCTGTCTCTAGGTTGGTACCTTTTTAAAAGGTACAAATTTGTACCTACAAGCTCCATATTAATGCCTTATTAATAAAAAGGGTATATATTAGTACCTAAAAAGTACAAATATGCTCCTTTTAAATTTTTTAGGTACTAATATCTAATTTTAAGGTACCAATATGGACCCTTTAAGTACAAATGTGTACCTTTTGAAAATGTACCACCCCAGTGACAGCTTGCATACCTTTATTTCTGAGTGCAGGAGGTTAGATAATGTTGTTTATTGAGTCGTCAAATTTTTCTTGTTGACAATAAATTTTTGTTTTATAAATTACTGTTAAAGTGATTACATTTTTTTTTTCTTTATATCATAGTAGGCATTTTTTGCATTCTCAAGAAAAAAATCAAGACAAAAAAGGGCAGCCATTCAATCATTTTCATCCGACTTAGTCCCTGATTTATCAGGGGTCGCTAATAAATATATAACAATTGTGCAATTAACATTGTGCATTGCTTTAGACGTCTTTAACACTCACCAATTAGGCATTTAGGTCCCACTTTCCATTAAGTGTCCTTAACTACTATGTACTTGCATCAAAAAATAAAAACAATGTACTTACTGTGTTTATAATGTATTTGAGAACACCTGTGGTGCTTTTGAGTTGGGATAGAGGTTGGGTTATGGACAGGTTTGGTGGCATGGGTGGGTTAAGGTGTAAGGAATGGTCAACAGTGTATTTACAAATGTAACTACAAAAGTTAATAACAGATGTAATTACATACATGCATTTAATCAAGCATAAGTACACAGTAAATACATGTATTTACACAACAAGTACATTGTAACAAAGTATTAATTCCTGTATAACTATATATTAGTTAAGGCCACTTAATATAAAGTGGGACCGGCATTTAAAAACACTGATTAATATTGCACTCAAAACGACATTTAACAAATACATTGCTATATGCTATTCTGAAAACCGTCTAGCTCTAGTGGACGGACATAAAGAACAGATTGGGTTTTTTATTCAAAAATAAATTGAGATCATTTTTTTCACCCCAATGTAAGTTGCTTCAAGTTATGTGGCTATTCAAAAATTAGCCTCAATCCTTGAATTCTGTAAAAAGATGACCAATTTCTTTGGATAAATTGTTTCTAACACCACACTAAGCAATTATTCTGTTTTAATGATGAACAGAAAGGTCAACCATACAGTTAAGACGCCTGTTAATGTTAATTGTTGAAATTACTTGCACTATATATTGATTCACTCTAGTTTAGTTTAAAATTAATTCTTTCATAAATTTCAACATTTTTAAAAGTAACACTGATTATTGATTCATATTAGATAATTTTTTTGGCTTGAATAAAATCATTTAACAGCCAATCAGAATCCATCCTGAGTGTTTAAAGCATCGGGCAATAGAATTGCAGCGTGTGCTTAGCATGGCCAACACTGTCGTCTTGTGTTAGTTATCGTTATAGTCATCATTGCTGGTGTGCAGACGGGCCTTCACTCACCTGTTTGACATCTGGAACATTGGCTGGTTTTTTGGTGGTCACTATTTGGCCAACTATGCCAGTGTCAGTGGGGAACACAATCTCAGACTGCGGGTTTACCAGGTTGGCCTCGTATTTGGACGTAGGAGTGACATCGAAAAGACATGTGGCGAGCTCAGGGATGCCGTTTCTGGCGCGAGATATAAAATAGCTGCAGCGGTCGGCGTTGACCAGCAAACATATCCTCTGCAGGACCTTGTGCATGGCCTTCTCCATGACAGGCTGTGAATGCATGTCTTGGATCATGTCAAAGAGGATGGCGGCTTCCTGCACTTGCGTGACATCCTTGAACGAAGCTGGATCCTTGATGTCCAGCTTCTCCTCGAACGCGGCGGCGATCACCTCGCATCGCACCTTCTTGTCAAAATACTCTTTGGCGAACTGGGGGTTATTCTCCAAGTACTTCTCCACGCTATCCTTGTCTGCCATGTTTGAAGTGTGTTTCTCTGCCTGGTCCTCTCACAGATTCATTACTTGTAGGCTGTCGGGATGAAAAGTGAAGCTCTCAGTGGCCTCCTCCTTCAGACAGGCTCATCGTCCTCCGACAGGCTGCAGAGAATAGTGGCTTACAGGCTGAAGGGATCAAAGTGGCCGCTAATGAAAGTGACGTCATGACATTAAACCCCTAAGCTTTCTTAACCTGCAAATCCCCACCCTGATCATTTTATGGCAGACAATCCAATCAGAGCTGCTGTTTTCTCCTGAAGAGGAGTCGCGCAGAGAAAGTGTCGCTATATGACATAATATTTGTCACATCGGCCTGTTGATTAGACAGTGGTGTTTCTGATCTAATATACTGAGGCGTCAAGGCCCAGAATGAGCACAAGGGACAGTCTTGCATGGTTTCAACATGTAAGAAAATGAGATTAGATGCAGCTAATGCGATAGAAAAGTTACAGGTTAAAAACATTGGATTGCTTTTTGATTTAAAACATTTTATTTTATGTATTGATTCAAATATAATTTGCTGCCTTATATTTTTTTTGGTTGCATCAGGTTTACCTTATACATGTAATGTAAACTTACATAATTTTTAAAGAAAACATTAAGTCGAATTGCTCAAACTTATAAAAATGTATTTCTCTGGCTTTACTGGATATGTTAGGCATGTGTGTGAGTAAAATGTCAATGATTGTGTTATTTGATGAAGGTCAGATAACATTGATGATTAAATATTGTCATTTAGAGCTTGTTGACAATTCAAATATTGCTCTAAACAGGGTTCATGGACAATCTTACTACAGAATTCCATGACTTTTCAGAAACATTCAGGTAAATATTCATGATCTTGTTTCGTGTTTCATGTAATGTCTACGTAAACGTGGTAAATAAGAAAAAAATGCACATTCAAATTTTTCGCAGCATATCAAAATGTGCGTATCTATGTTTTGTATATTTATTTTTATATCTGTAAAATAGTTCTAGAAAGTATTGTGCTGTCTGTGTGAACATTTTAGAAATGCTGGCTTGTGTTTTCACAAGATTTATGAGATTAGACCTTTGCAGTTAGAAAACACGACACTCAAACTGCATCTTGAACTACAGTGAAATCGAGTAAAAGAGGCGAAGCTGAAACTGCTTTTGATTTTTGAAGTTATTGCTTTTGCAACGGAAGTTTGCGAAGTTTAACCCGCACAGAGAACCTAAAGGGACGGACAGCTCAATTTCATTTTATTAAAAATGTACCCAACTTTATCATCTCAAATGTATTCAAGTACACAGATAATTGTTAAGCAAATTTTCATGGCTTTTCCAAACATTTTGGGTTTATTTGCTTTTCCAAAATTTTTCCAGGCCTGGAAAATGTTATTTCAAAATGATTTTTCCAGGTTTTCCAGGACCGTATGAACCCTGTTTAAAAAATTACTCTCCTATCAGCTATTACCACTGTTGATATCCCACCATGTCCAATTATTGGTTTATTTGGGGTTCTTCCACCCAACCACACTTTACCCTCTTATTTTGTTGACTTTGTAGCCTTCTTAACCCTTCTGGCTAGCCGATTAATACTTCTGAACTGGAAGAGCCCTCACCCTCCTTCTCACTCTTGTTGGATACGAAATGTTCTTTATTTTATGAAATTAGAAAAAAATAGGTACTCTCTTCACCGAACTAGCACTATTTTTATTAAATTGTGGGAACCCCTTCGCAAATATGTCCAAACTCTTCAGCTTGACCCTGCTCCTTCTGATTGAGTCCCCACCCCCTAATGCCCAGCTTTTATGGGAAACTATTTCTGGTCAACACATTGTAGACTTGTTTTTTTATGTATATAAGATTGCACTAGTGTTGTTGTTTTTTATTTTATTTATCTATTTATTTTTATTATCTTATTTTTATTTATTATTATTATTTATTTATATTATCATTATTATTTGCTCAAAATACTCTTCAGTGTATTTGCTTATTGTTGCATGTTTATGTCTTTGTAAATCTTTGTAATGTTTCACAATGTATAAATAAAACATTTAAAAAAAATAATAATTTACTCACATAATTAGTTCCAGATATTCCTACATTTATTCTGGTGAACACTAGAGAAGATATTTTGAAGAAATATCTGGCTTTCTTCAAAATGCTTTATTTTGTGTTCAACCGAAGAGATTTTAAGGTGAATGGAGAGTAAATCATGACAAAATTTTCAGCTTTGGGTGAACTGTCCCTTTAACACTTCTGAAACTGAGACCTTGATACGGTGACTAAAACGATAAACACGTTTGAAAACATAGCATGGCTACACTTAATATTAATTATTAAAGGTGAAATCATGATTCAAATATTGAACGTCTGTCCTTTAATTATGTACAATATACAACACCTAAGATCCTCCAAAGAAAACGAGAAGAACGCTAGCGGTTAAGTGATATTGTCAACCAGCATTGTCCTTATTACACCCACAGCACTCAAGCTCTCCAAGTAAGAGGAGAAGTTCTCTGAAGCGGCCTATTATTAGCATTTTTAGACTTTCTGCACCCAGGATCTATTTCCACCGATAGGATTAGGCCTGATCTGTCAGTCTGTCATATAAAGAGATCTGTCTCCTTTTTCTCTTATATTGGGGGAGTGTCCTGCAGCAGGTAAATTCAAAAGAAAAGGCCTTGCATCATATGTACCAGGCTTTGTAAATCCTGGATTAGGTAAAAGTGATTATCAGGATATCCTCTCTTGAAGGCAGAGAGCTTGGCTTGACGCTTCAGAGCGCTCACACGTTTAAGTTCACAACGAGGAGCCCACAGACACAGCGAAGATGCTAAATTTACCACACTCACCATTACTTTAATGGGATCAGATATTAAGCATGCAATGTTTTAAACATCCAAATATCTGATATACCTGAAGCCCAAAACAAACAAGTGTGTTCATGCTGTTATTGCATGGTCTTGACTTTATGATATTGGTGGTGAAGTGTTTATTTGAAATCCCTCTGCCTCAGGCTTGCAGTGAAATCTTGAACTGTTGACACATATAATCTGTGCTGATACATGCAAAACATCGTCAGCAATCCATGCACACCACCCTTCAGCACAGAGGGATTTCTTATATTTACACCCAAACAGACAACCATTACATCCAATGAGCTGAGATTAGACTCAGTTAGCTTAATATCAAGATCTGGTTGACTTAGCTTGAATTAGTAATGTTGCAAATAAAGCAGAGGAAGATCTGATTGCAGTGTCTTAGAATATACAACAATCGGTTAACATCCATGAAGAAACAGATAGAGTTTGATTGAGTTAGATGGATGGATGGATGGATGGATGGATGGATGGATGGATGGATGGATGGATGGATGGATGGATAGATGGATGGATGGATGGACGGATGGACAGATAGAATGATAGACAGACAAATAGACAGACAAATGGATAGATAGATGATAGATAGATAGATAGATAGATAGATAGATAGATAGATAGATAGATAGATAGATAGATAGATTGATAGGTAGGTAGGTAGATAGATAGATAGATAGATAGATAGATAGATAGATGGATGGATGGATGGATGGATGGATGGATGGATGGATGGATGGATGGATGGATGGATGGATGGATGGATGGATGGACGGACGGACGGACAGATAGAATGATAGACAGACAAATAGACAGACAAATAGACAGACAGACAGACAGATAGATAGATAGATAGATAGATAGATAGATAGATAGATAGATAGATAGATAGATAGATAGATGGATGGATGGATGGATGGATGGATGGATGGATGGATGGATGGATGGATGGATGGATGGATGGATGGACGGACGGACGGACGGACGGACGGACGGACGGACGGACGGACGGACGGACGGACGGACAGATAGAATGAAAGACAGACAAATAGACAGACAGATAGACAGATAGACAGATAGATAGATAGATAGATAGATAGATAGATAGATAGATAGATAGATAGATAGATAGATAGATAGATAGATAGATAGATAGATAGATAGATAGATAGATGGATGGACGGACAGATAGATGGATAGACAGACAAATGGATGGATGGATGGATGGATGGATGGATGGATGGATGGATGGATGGACGTACGGACAGACGAACGGACGGACGGACGGACGGACGGACGGACAGACTGACAGACAGACAGACGGACGGACTAACAGACAGACAGACATATACCATAGCATGATTTCACAATGTTAACATGACTAGCAAACTTTTAGCTTGTTTAACACATTTTAGCATGCTGTTAGCATGTTTCTAACATACAGTAAACTAACATTATGCTAACAGGAATTGGCAGGTTGTTAGCAAGAATTGCTAACTTAAATTAGGTAAGATCACTTGGAAAATATTTGAAAAAGAACAAAAGCTTCACATGGAGCTAATAATAACACATACACACTCTCATTTGCTTTTCCTTAGCAGCATGTTCACAAAGTTTAATAACCTCTGTGGATAATTTGATTACTTTGTTTGCTGCCAATAGTTTCAGTGACGTGTGTTTTGTGGTTGGGGGCCAACACCACTATTGCAATGACCTAAATTTACCTCTTTTGAACAACTCAGAAAACTGAAACTTATGTAACTTGTCACAACTTCCCCTTTTAGTATGATAAAAACACTTAAGGTGACCTATGCTTGATAAAAACCATACACTGTAAAAGATATGGACGTGGTATCAGTGATGTCACTCATAGGTTTCTGAAGAACCCAAAAGAAGCTACCAGTAGGTGTGGGCAATACCAACCGGCGATACCAAACAAGGGCAAAGAGGCAGAGCCTGAGCAGAGCTCCAGACACCTGTTGGCATTTTGTTTTGACGGACTTTTCTTTGGAAGAACACTTAATACTTCACTACCTGCGACTCGTTTGTGTTCTGATCACATGTGCTTGGTTGTACACTATAGCAATAAAGTGTTTAGTCTTTTAAAAACACTGTTGTAATACATTGAGCCTCTAAACATAGTTCTTATAATGCTTTTCTATAAGAGGAAAACGCAAATTACTTCCAAACACCTCAAATATAGTCTGTGTTAGTAAATGCAAGGCTATTTATGAAAACCAGGCATAACAACAACGTTTCAGATGATTGTTTTATAGCCTACAGCTAATCAATCTGTCAGATTCTGGAGTGCATTAAAGATCTAAAGAAAAATATAAGTGATTAAGGATCTTAAATTAAGCAAATGCATTTATAGAGATGGTATATAAGTATATAATTTCACTCACCTGGGAAACGGAGGCCATGTGAATGGTTTGTGAGCACAATTAAGTGCACACAGCATGCCATATCATCTGATAATTGTAGAAAATAATTCCAAAAGGAGACTGACAGTGTAAAGCCACATAAAACAACACATAAATACGATGTCTGAGCCGAGTTCAGCGGCTAATCAGCCGGAATCAGCTGAGGTGAAGTGACGGCGACCAGCGAGACCTAGCTGTCACTCAAGTAGCCACGCCCTTAATTCTGCAGACCTGAACAAAACCTAATATAAAGGAAACTGATGAGTTATAAAAAAAATACTTATTATATTAGCTATGAACCAAAATCGTTCTTTGGACCAACATGTAAACAGCTTTTTTGCTGTAAAGGTTTTAGCAGTGGGGTCAATCGAAATTTGCTCTATTATGGAGCCTGGACTAGTGGAATTTTGATGAATTGCAGTTTTAGTTAATTCCGTGTTAGCTTCGCGAGGGAAAGCGGGAGGTTGCCGCTTGTAAAAAACACTTAAAGTTAGCATGTTGTTATCCAATATGTATGCTGTAAGTATGTTTCAAACATGGATTAGTATGTTATTATCAGGTGATATTATGAACTAGCATGTTGTTAATATGCTTCTAGCATGAATGTACATGTGTTAGCATGTTTTACTATTAGTTTTAAGCTTGTTGTCATCAGGTTATTGAGTGAATTAGTATGTTGCTAATATGTTTCTAGAAAGAAGTTGTTAGCCAAACCTATTATTGGTGATTATTAAAATTATCACTATGCACCATAGTCTTCTGCTTGACAAAGCTGCATTATGATGATGAAAAAAGGGGGTAGAAAGAATAGTCAGGACCACGGTAAAATATTATTAGAGTCCAAAGTTTTCCATAGCTGATGGATTGAGTTTTCAGGATGACATGGTCTTTCAGAGATCATTGTAATGTATATTGAATTGCTACATTTATATTTGCAAAAGGATTGTGTTGTGTAACAGTTGTCACTATTTTTTGTGTGAAAAATGTGAAAGATTTATTAGGATTTTCTTTTTGAACAGATAACACAAATATGTTAAGACCTCAGCATTTTACATGATAGCGTTGAACACTTTAAGTGTTTTTATCATACTAAAAGGGGGAGTTGTGACAAGTTACATAAGTTTCAGTTTTCTGAGTTGTTCAAAAGAGGTAAATTTAGGTCATTGCAATAGTGGTGTTGGCCCTCAACCACAAAACACACGTCACTGAAACTATTGGCAGCAAACAAAGTAATCAAATTATCCACAGAGGTTTTTTAACTTTGTGAACATGCTGCTAAGTAAAAGCAAATGTGGGTGTGCGTATAATATTCAAGTCAAAATGATTAGCCCTCCCTGTAAAGTTCTTTTTCAAATATTTTCCAAGTGATGTTTAACAGAGCAAGGAAAACTTCCTATAACTTTTTATATTATAATATATTATTTTATTTTAAGGTCAATATTTTTAGCCTACTTAAGAAATCTTTTATTTTGATTGAGAACAATCCACTGTTGTCTAATGACTTGCCTAATTAAATAAAAAGTTAAATATTATGTATTGTCATTGTGGCAAAGGCAAAAGAAAATGCTAAGAAACCAAATTATAAATTGGTTATTAAAACTATAATGTTAAAAATATGTTGAAAAAAGAAAACTTCTCTATGCCTACATTTAAACTATCCCTTTAATATGCTTTCTGTGTATACACTGTAAACCCTGTTGTTGTCATTAGTAAAGATATTGGGCTCTATTTTGACGAGCCATGCCTAAAGTGCAACGCGCAGGGCGCTAACACATTAAGGGCGTGTCAGAATCCACTTTTGCTAATATAAGGATGGAAAAATCTACTTTGCGCCGTGGCGCATGGTCTAAAAGGGTTGAGCTTATTTTCTTAATGAGTTATAGGTGTGTTTGGAGAATAAACCAATCAGATCTCATCTCCCATTCCCTTTAAGAGTCAGTTCGTTGCGCCATAAGCACATTCGCTATTTACATGACGTAAAGTAAGTGTAAGTGGAAAAACTGAGCATTTCACTAGCAAGAAAACAGTTAAACAGAGCATCTACAGCGCGAGAATGAGAGATAAATTATTAACTTTCACTTTTGCTCTCGTGGATAGGGAAACCTTGTACGTACAGACATCAATTAGCCTAAAAATAATTAATTTAGTTTAAGCGCAAATATTTGTTTCAAAACTATTTCTAAATTTAGTTCTAATTTCCAGCAAACGAATAAATAAACAATAATAACGAAGTGTGTTGAAAAACCTGAGTTATATCCTAAAACACATGCTGTGCCCCATATGGTCTAAAACCTGACAGGTGGGCAAATCTAAGTTTGTTTTAATAAAACAAATATAAACATGCATATAATAAATAATACTGCTAATAATAATAACATTATACAAAAGCAAATTGTCACAAATAAACTGAAAAAGCCCCCCGAGATGAAGAAGGTATGAAAGTATGGTTTTTATATTTATGTAGGCTAGAAAATAATATGTTTTGTAATATTTTAATCCTTTATATTTATGTCCTATTTATATACTTATTATATCCTATAAAAATCCTTAATACTTTTCCATTCTTTTTCATATGTAAAGATATTTGCGTTTTGCTCTACATCTTGTGTGTATTAAGCAGTGTATAAGCCAGGCACAACTAACAAGCTCTGCGCTGGACAACAGACCGTCTTTGTTCTGGTCTATAGAACAGACTATTTTAGTTTCTCAAAAAAGCAACGCGCCTCAACACGCCTTCTTTTTTAGATCAGAACGCCTATGGGCGCACATATGAGCGCAAATGCATTTGTGGCGCAAAACATCAAAACAACTCTTGCGCAAAGCTGAAACTAGCAAACAGCAAGAAGGTCACTAGTTTGAGGTCAGTTGGCATTTCTGTGTGGAGTTTGCATATACTCCCCATCTTGGCATGGGTTTTCTAGACATGAAATTTAGGTGAAGTAGGTAAGCTAAATTATCTGTGTGTGTGTGTATGTCCTGGTCCTCCAGGTTGGGAGTTGAGGCTAACAACCCACCTCAAAAAAATTAGATGTTACGAAACTCCAACATGGTGCGGCTAAATATCAACTTCGATATAAACGGCCCTGGGAGTAAGTAAAGAATATAAAAGCTGAAAAAATTTGTAAGTTTAGTCTAATAGCCAATTTAAGTTATCTGTACTTTTACATTTAAGTTATCTTTATTTTTATATTTAAGTTAACTTAATAAAAAGACCACATTTGGTTAACCTAGTTAAATTGTCGATTTCCCATTGCTCAAATGAATTGAGGGAATCACTTTCCTCAAATCTTTCGAGTAGTCTCAACTTATTAGGGTTTACAGTGTGTAACATTTCTTTTGTAAATTCATTTGGATTCAGAAACCAAAATAGTCTCTTCTTTGAGCCTCAGAATCAGTTGGTTTCAGTTACAAAATGTCTTTTAGGTGCCATTTCTTCTTCATTCTGTGAGAAATACAAATGTCTGAAATGTAATGACATTTCCGCAGTAGTAGAGTGTGTAAGTTGCTGAAAATAAGTCTGCTGGTTACTAGTACGGATCTAAGAAAAATATGTAGTTTCAATGTTCATAAAACAGAAATGTTCCCCCTTGGGCAGAGAACACAATCTCAGGCATGACTTAGAAAGACGCCGTGTGCTGAAGATTTCCAGATGTGTGTTTTGGCTTCGCAGCTCTTGCGTAATCCAGCTGCAAACTGAAGAAAAACACATTCGGGGAAGAGCAGAGGTCAATGCAGCCACAAACCCTGTTGAGACCTGAAACACGGCCGTTATGTAAAAACTTCTGTCCAATGGCAAGTGAATATCGAGACTTTGGGTGGGACTATGAGAACCCACCAGAATCCAAACCCTATATAAGTCACCTCGCAGGAATGCAGCATCATCAGTGAATACTGAATACTGTGAATTAGGTACGCTCTTCAGGATAAATTGACAGAAGTGTTGCATTTGTCTGTCTTTTCATGACTTTTTCTGCTTATTTGTTCCAGCACAGAGGCAGTATGTTAAGGCTCTGTATAGCAGTGTGTGTCCTGGCCACTTGCTGGGCTCAGGACTGTCAAGTCAGCAACTTCGCCGTCCAACAGGACTTTAACAGAACGAGGGTAAGTCAACCAGTGTTTCCTTCTTCACACTGAGGTGTTTTTGAGCGTGCATTCTTACAGTCTCTCACTGTCCTTCTAGTATCAAGGAACATGGTATGCAGTGGCCAAGAAAGACCCTGTTGGGCTGTTCCTTCTTGACAACATTGTGGCCAATTTCAAAGTAGAAGAGGATGGAACCATGACAGCCACCGCCATTGGCAGAGTCATCATTCTCAAGTGAGTTTACAGCTGGGTGGTGATGTGAATGCACTTATGCAATAGAAATGGCTCCATTGTAACGTGTGCTTTTGCAGCAACTGGGAGATGTGCGCCAACATGTTCGGCACTTTTGAAGATACCGAAGATCCAGCTAAGTTCAAGATGAAGTACTGGGGAGCTGCTGCGTATCTCCAGACTGGATGTAAGTGCAGATTTATTGTACATTACGCAACACTCATCTCACACTCACAATCATCTGCTTTCAAGCTAACAGAAAAAACGGTCTAAGAACTAGATGCTTCGAAATGCTTGTAGTAACAAGGATTGCTTCAAATGTTGTGGACGTACTACTGTTGAATCTTCTCAACAAGAGGTGATAACAGTAATACTTCATTTAGATGAGGTTCTTTGACTACGAGTAACATTGCATCTAGGCATGGGCCGGTATAAGTTTCTGATGGTGTGATAACCTTGGATAAACATATCACGGTTTCACGGTGTTGTGATTACTGCTGTAAACCAATTTCTTTTTAAATCTCTTAGTAAAAAACAACAACTTGTTTTCCCCATTTGACACAAAATATGAAATTTTAGGAAACATTTATAATATTTTGGAACAGAAAACATGTCAGGCTACATCATAAAAAACACTGACTTCAAATAAATTCATTAGCTTCAAAAACACAGATTTCATTACAATACATAAAAAAACACTTAAAAAAACTCAACTTATACCTTAGAACGATATCATTTTTGTGGTTTTAATACTTTGATTTTTCCAAACCGCAGTACACCTTGAAAACGGTTATCGTCCCATGCCTAATTGAAACTCACTTGTTTAGAAGAATATTAGTTTAGGGTTAGAAGAATAAGTTGGGGTTATCATCTGTGATCTAATCATAAATACTTTTTTATCAATGTTTAAGCTGATGTCGGCGCAAATGGTGTAGCGATTAGTGCGTTGACTCATGCACTCTGGTGCTCATGGCGACTCAAGTTTGATTCCCGCCTAGTGGTCCTATGCCTATACTTCCCCTCTCTCTGCTCCCCTTACTTTCCTGTCAACAATCTATACTGTCCTATCCATTAAAAAAGGTGAATACCGCGAAAAAATGTTCAAGCTGATATTATCAAAAATGTCAATCACTTTGTTGCAAGTTTTGAGAGTGCATATTTATTTACTGCATGAGTAAGCTTAAAGAAAGCAGTCAGAATGACACTATAATTAAGCTATAATACATCATACTGTAGTTAAGTAATATTAGACGAGCATGTAAACGAGATGCCGAATTTAAACAACAATATAAACGACAAACAAGAAGATAATATTAAGCATTTTAGACAAAACGTGTTTAGGTAGGAACATGGTATTTACAGAAATCAGAGTGACATTCAATACCTTTTAAGACCTTTTTTACGACTCTTTCCATACATTTTAAGAGCTCATTGCTACTTAAGGTTTCAACCGGTAACATTAGAGACATTTTAGCTGACAGCATGTTTACTGAATACTGATTGTAAGAAACGAATCCCAAGTTAAAACTTTATTCATATACGTAACAAAATTGCTAATCCAGCAGATGGCACCAATTGACCTTATTTTTCAATTTGGAAGTGCGCTCTTTTTTGTGATTGTTTTAGAACTTCCGATCCAGTTGCCTATGGAAGAAAAAAATAGGAATATATGCATATTTATTTTTATTAGCTATTTTTTAGGGGTTTTCACCTTTATTATGATAGGACAGCAGAGATTTGAAACAGAAAAGTACTGGGAGCAGAGAGAGGGGGAAAATCGGCAAAGGACCTTGAGCCGAAAATCGAAATCGGGTCACCGTGAGCACATTTGTGCTATATGTCCACGCACAGAAAACGGTCAAACTACTTGCTCTACAATCAAGTGTTTGCATGACTATACAGACCAAGTAGAATAATATAATAAGGTAATACATGTTTGCAACATCAAGCAGCATAACAAGCTGTTTTATCGTCTAAAAATGAATGAAGTGAAAAAGACCGGGAGACTCGAGCCTAGAAGATTCAAATGGCTGCACCATTTGGTAAATAGAACAGCAGGAAAAATGGTGTCACCTTGATTACTGCATTAAACAAAGCAGTGTAATGTCAAATCTAGCAGGATTATATTGATTTTATAAACTATACAGCATCCTGATATTCTCAGATTAAATTCAGGCAAACTTTAGCATGCTGATATAAAATTGTATACCTTATAAACTAGCATTTAAGACTTAAATGCCTTTTAAGAGCCTTAATTTTCACTGAATTGACTTATTAACTTTTTAAAACCTAGTGGACACCCTGACTTTTTCTGATTCTGATTGGCTGAAAGCAGGATATTTAATGCCTTGCTGTGTGTATGCAAAAAGGATTTCATTTCCTTTCAAACCAAGTCAAGAACAAGTCAACTTAGTAAATAAAAAACCTTGGAAGACTTGTATTTTGGTCCTGTTGTCCTCAGGGTATATCCACCATCTAGTCCAGATACCAACCGGAGCTAGTTGACCATGTTAACCTTGGAATAAGAGAGAGGCAGACAGAATAAAATAATTGTAGGTGCCAATGCTATCGTTACTATGTCGATCCTGATTCTGGTTGCCCTAATTAATGCAGCTGAACAATTCCTTACCTGGTTTGAATACGTAGATTGTGTTTGTGTGTTATTTATTTGATACTGCAAAGAGATCTTTAGTCTAGATTTAAACTGAAAAGAGTGTGCCTGTCGGTTTTGGCCTGTATTGCACATATACCCTCGTTCACTTTTCTCTCCAGTAGCCTAATCCACTAATATAGTTTATGTAAAGGAGTGTATAAAACAATTGAGTAAATTGGAGCACTGAAAATGTGCAATTTTGCTAGTATTTTGATAGGCTATTCACAACTTCTTGAACGTTTCTCTGATACTGATTCTCTGATACTCAGATATTTCTGCCATGTATTTAAACAGCAATTTACCCATTAAAATGATTGTTTTTGGAAACGTACAGCGATAGGATTCTGCCGTGGTCGCCATCTTGTGGTCAGCCAGTCACGGGAATTTATTTGACGCGCGATATCGGAACGTCCAAAGTTGTTTCCGACACAAACAATGACTGCCCCCTCAAATAACACGACCTGTAGGCCATTTTAAAAGAAATCCTGACCGCTAGAATGTTGGTTCATAACGTCGAAAGCCCTGCAGGGACGTTACTTGTTTGTTGACCAATTTGCGACCCGTTTACTTTTCAGATGACGACCACTGGATCATTGACACAGACTACGATAACTACGCAATCCACTACTCGTGCAGAGAGCTGGATGAGGACGGCACCTGTCTGGACGGATATTCCTTCATTTTCTCCAGACATCCTGACGGGCTCAGGCCTGAAGACCAGGCCATAGTGACACAGAAGAAACAGGACATCTGCTTCCTGGGCAAATACAGACGCGTTGCACACACTGGTAAGATTGTTAACCCTCATGTATTATTGTTATCATGCAGATGCCGTTATGATCAGACCTGATAATTGATTTGTATTTTTTTTATTGTGCAGGTTTCTGTGAGGCTGCCTAAACCATTGCATCAAGGAGCTTCTGATGATATAATCTGCCCTTTTATATTTTTTTTGCTGATGTGTAAATATATTAAATAAGCATATTACTTACCAAACGAGAATCCATAATAATTTTGCACAAAGTAAAAATGTGTACTCACTTGTAATGCACAGTAATGTGCATAGTGTAAACTTTGGTTTTTCAAATAAATTCGAAACAAGTAGGAATGAATTGTTAACTGAGTGATTAATGCTGGTATACTCATCGTCATTTGTTTCAACAATATAGTTATAGAAATATCAAAATTCAAAATATGCCACTGCTTATTTCTAAAAAAACAAAACAAAAAACATCACAGCTGGCATGGTGTATATTCATTCATTCTCTTTCAGCTTAGTCCCTTGTTAATCAGGGTTCGCCACAGTGGAATAAACTCCCAACTATTCCGGCATATGTTTTATGAAGTGGATGCCCTTCCAGCCACAACCCAGTATTGGGAAACACCCATACACACTCACATTTACACACACTCTTCAGCCAATTAAGTTCATCCAATTCACCTGTAGTGCATGCCTTTGGCCTGTGGGGGAAACTCTTGAATGCAACCCAAGCCAACAGAGGGAGAACATGCAAACTCCTAACAGAAATGCCAGCTGGCCCAGCCATAACTCTAACTAGCAATCTTCTTGCTGTGAGGTGCTAACCACTGAGTGACCATGCCGTCCCATGGTATATATATTTAAAAAAATATATAAAGCATTTAAGTTATCAAATTGTATATCAACTCAAGACCTCATGAAACTGCAATTAAGACTTTTTAAATAGCCTTTTTAAGGGCCTTTATTTTCTCATGATTGATTTATCAACTTTTAATACTTTTTAAGACCCAGCGGACACCCCGACTTGACATAAGTGTGCTTAGTTTTATCATCCTTGCACCACTTTATCAGTGGTAGAATATAAATTTGGTAGAATAAAATATTTCAACACTACCATATAAACACATTTAAAGCCATATGTCTTATCAAATATATTACACTGAGGAAGGCTTTGTGCCGAAACGTCTGTGTCTTTTAATCACCCGTAAAATGTAAGAGAAAGAAAAAATAAAAACAGTATGAAGCAATTGAGTGAGAATCCTTAGCTTTTTTTTAATATTACCAATTATACCAAAACATGCAGACTGAAAAACTACTCCCGGAAAGTGGTTAAAAGTACCCCAAGCCCTTTGAAAACTGCTGCAAATAATAGTCCAGTATGAAAAATGACTACATGAAAATATATCAGAAACATTTTTATATTAAAGAAAGGTTAAAGGAATTGAATCATCACTTAATCATTCTCCTGCTCACCAAGGCTGCACTTATTTCATCAAAAATACAGCACAGATTGTACAATTGTGAAATGTTATTGCACTGCAAAATAACTGTTCAAAGTAGTTTATCATTTAATTTAACCTCTTAAGGCACAAGGTGTGTTTTTACATGCATTTTTGATTTCTCTTTGCAATTTGGGCTTATTGGAACATAATAAAACCCAAGTATCATCTTTTGGCATGATGTACATTTAGAGAAAAATGATGTCCATGTATGTGGACTCGTGCGCCGCATTTCCATAAAACACTTTTTTCAGACTGTTTCCTAATGCATTAATAACATATACATACTTTTTGAACTTGCTTTGACCATCAGAGAATTTAAAAAAAAATAGTTTTACCCATTTAGGACAGTTCAAAATAGGGTTTGGGACATTTCATATACTGCAAAACAGTTGCAGGATGACACTGTATGTTTGTAACAAGATACAAGATATTCCAAGTATTTTAAATAGCCACTTAAGAGCTAAAATGTGCTGTCCACGTATGCGGCCAATAAGCCCTAGGAGGTTAATAATTTATTCTAGTGGTTTTATTGATGAATTTTTTGCTTCGTTACTCCAGTACTCAGTCACATGATCGACATTACATTAATTATTATTATTATTATTATTAATAATAGTAATAAAAGCAATTATGACTGGAGTAATAATTTCATTTGAAACTACATACAATGAGAAAGCAGTTATTTAAAATTTTAATAAATATTTAACAATTCGTTCACATTTAATAAATGCTGCCTCGATAAACAGAATAATTTTCTTTAAAAAAAACAAAAAATATATATAAAATAAATTTGTTCTCTCGTATAAGACAGTGACAAGACACTGTTCCAATTAAAATGAAAAAAATAATTCATATTGGAATTTTAATAATGATATAGATATCGGCATTATATACAATGTGTGTGTGTGTATGTATGTACGTATATATATATATATATATATATATATATATATATATATATATATATATATATATATATATATATATATATTTATTTATTATATACAGTTGAAGTCAGAATTATTAGCCCCTTTTGATTTTTTTTGTTATTTTTAAAATATTTCCCAAATGATGTTTAACAGAGCAAGGAAATTTTCACAGAATGTCTGATAATATTTTTTCTTCTGGAAAAAGTCTTATTTGTTTTATTTCTACTAGAATTAAAGCCATTTAAAAAAATTTTAAACACAATTTTAGGGACAAAATTATTAGCCCCTTTAAGCGATATATTTTTTCGATAGTCTACAGAATAAACCACCGTAATACAATAACTTGCCTAATTATCCTAACCTGCCTAGTTAACCTAATTAACCTGGTTAAGCCTTTAAATGTCACTTTAAGCTGTATAGAAGTGTCTTGAAAAGTATCTAGTAAAATATTATTTACTGTCATCTTGGCAAAGATAAAATAATTCAGTTATTAGAAAGGAGTTATTAAAACTATTATGATTAAAAATATATTGTAAACATTTTATTTCCATTAAACAGAAATTGGGAAAAAAAATAAACAGTGTGAATACTACAACTTGTCAGGTTTGGTTACTTAATTTTCACCACCTAGCAGTGAAAAATACAACCCACATTCCCAGAATCAAAGCATTTTTGGACTCCTCCTCCAGCTACTGCGTTTCTCCAAATCCCCCTCTCTAAATAGTTTAATGCAGGATTTACACATGTCGTCTAATTCAAGACAGATTTAGTTGGCACAGTCAGGACTGATGGATGCTAATGAGTCATTCCTAGATGAGGAACACTTCCGAGGTGCTACGAGGATACAGAGGAAAACCAGGAAACAAGCACCCCACAGACCTCATGCCGTTTTTCTTTTATTTAATCAAGTATATAATTCAGTGAAGGACTGCGTGGAAAATAAATCTAGTTGTTTTTTTTTAGATACAGCACTGATTTACAAAAGGAGAAAATGATAAATATTCCTTTATGAATTATTGCATGTGTGCAAACTGAGTATAAAAGAGCAACCTCGTCACCAAAAAGGGGAATAAGAAAATAAGATGTGCATCTGAGCTCATAAATTAAAACATTTTTAAATACACCCCATGTAAACAGATACTTTCACGAATATTTTAGAAAAATCTCTTCAAACTTTTACAATTTAAAAAATGTAACTACTTACTGTTTTTACAAAATAATCATATAAAACACTGACAATGCCTTTGGGATGGTGACTACAATAGTCGAAGTCACTCTGCTAATGCTACTCTACAGTGTTTTAGGTGAAGCAGTAGTCGAGGTGTGCAAGCAGCTCTCGGTGTTGGCTGGTGGGGTAAGATGCACCACAGTTGGGGCACTCCAGGACACTCTCATCTAGTATGTTATGGACTTTAGATGGAGACGTCATGTGATCTTGAATGGTCAGTCTCTCCAGATCCATCCTGTTATAGGAGCTGGGCTCAGAGAAACGAGACTCTCGCTGCTGCTTCTGAGGCCAAAGGCAGAATCAGCATTATTACACAATGATACCATAAACACGTCCATGATCATGTCGGGACTCGGGACACATTCGGGAATGTGGAGAAACTTACAGAAGACTCCAGGCGTGTGATCTGGTCTCTGGCCTTCCGGAGCTCCTTCAAAACTTTATGCAGTTGATGCTGTAAAGTTTGACGGTCTAGTTTTTCATTTTCTGATTCTTTAGCAGACAGCTGGATCTGTAGGGTGGAGAATAAAACAGACATCATCTAGTTTAAACTCACAAGCTAAAGGAATAGTTCACCCAATATATATATATATATATATATATATATATATGTATAGATATATATATATATATACACACGTGTGTGTGTGTGTGTGTGTGTGTGTGTGTGTGTGTGTGTACATGTTTTGTGACATATCAGGACACAAATCTGTATAATGACATGGGTATGACACAGGTATTACAAAAATGAGGTGAAATATAAGGACATTGGTGACATCCTCACGTCTCAAAAAGCTTATAAATTCCACTTTATGGGTTTAATCAGAGAGTAAAGCTGCACACAGTCTCCTGTGATGGTTGGGTTTAGGGGTAGGGTGGGTTGAGGGCAATACAATTGTATACAGTTTGAACAGCATAAAATGAATGGAAACCTACGTAGTGTACCCACTTTTCACAAAAACAAACGTGTGTGTGTGTGTGTGTGTGTGTGTGTGTGTGTGTGTGTGTGTGTGTGTGTGTGTGTGTTTACCTGCTGTTCCAAAATAGCCATTCTTTTCTGCTCTTCCTTCTGGTTCATCAGGGATTTCTGCAATAGGTTCACCTTTCGAAACAGGAAAACTACTATTAAAAGTCTGACATATCTTGAGGCTAAGTGGTCAATAGCTGCACTTTCTTTATGGTTAACATTAGCTATTCACCAAACACATCTGTTTTAAATCTTTAATATTATTTTGTGATAATGTTTTATTAACACAATAAGTACACACAATTCTAAATGAACATTAGATACTTTTTTTTTTTTTTTACATACGAGTGGTATAAACTCAGCAATGTGTGAAACTGCTATAACTGTTGTATACTATAATGATGGATGGATGGATGGATGGAAATAAAAATAAATCCCTCTGATTTTATAATTATTACAAAATAAATATTTAAGTAATTGCAAAACTTTTTTTCCAAGAGTATTTCAAATTACATAAATTACAATATTTACAATATACAATATTACCAACTCTGAAGTAAGCAACAAATGTGGGAGAAATTTAGTATTTATATATATATATATATATATATATATATATATATATATTTTTTTTTATGTATATAGTTTCATATTTTTTTTTACACTGATATAAGTCAAGGGGCAGCACAGTGGCGCAGTGTGTAGCACAATCGCCTCACAGCAA